CCCCCCTCCCCTCCCCTCCCCCACAGCACAGACCCCAGTGACACAGACCCCAGCCAGCATCTGGTCATGGTCAGGCCACCCCCTTGCTAGTTAATGCCTATGTGTGTGGGCTAATGCCTAGGTGTCTGTGTCTCCCAATTCACTGGAACAAAGGCAGACAGAACAGTGTCCACTTTGGGCTTTTTGGAGCTAATCAGCCAGTCAGCTGGTAATGTCCCTCCATTCTTCCTTTAAAATGCTTTGCAAAAAGCTGTTTAAGAAGAGCTTGAACTAATAAGAGAAAGGCTTTGTTTTCTTGACGGGCTGATGAGCTTTGTGTTCTGATAAGCTCCCTGCTTTGCCTCAGAGTGCTAGCCGGGGGCCAGAGGCTTGGGTCTAGCAACACTCCCCACCCCTTGAGCAGCAAGTGCTGGGGGAGGGGAAAGCCTGGTGAGGACTGCTTCCCCCTCCCCACCAGGCACATCCCAGATGGGGACTGTGCAGGCCAGGGTGGGGGTTTAAACCCTGTCCTAATCATCAGGGATCCAGGTTTTCCATTTCCCATGGAAATACAGAGTAAACCACAGATTTTGCCTTTAAACAGAGGCAAACACAGATTTCTCATTTTACCAGAGAAACCCACAGATTTTGCAGTTTTGTGATGAGCCCTCTGCAGGCTGCCAGAGTTTCATGGCTGCTACCCAGCTGGACAGTGCCTGGGGCTTGGGGCCCTGAGCTGCAACGCACAGCTGCAGGGCTCTGGCAGCAGTGGAACGGGGCTACGGGTGGCTTGTCCGGAGATGGGGGGGCAGGGCTAGCTCCCCACTGTCACGTGCACTCCTGGGGGGCAGGAGGGACCCACACTCCCCAGATCTGTGCACAAGGCAGGGGCTGTGCGCTGCCCACTTCAGGTTCATGCTCCCTGCCCTGCTGCCCTTTCCCAGGGCCTCTGTAGCCTGGCATGTGCATCCTGCAGGGCATGTGCTGCAGGGAACAACGGAGCCATTCAGGAAGCTGCCTGCCGCTGCGAGATCCATGCTGCCTGCACCCCCTGCACACAACTCTACACCACCGCCTCTGCTGCAGCCACGTTCATGCAGGGGGTACATCACCAGGGCAGTGTGGAATCTGCAGCAGGAGGCAGCTCCCTGCATGTCTCCGCTGTTCTTTGCAACACCGGATTGCACACACCAGGCTATGGAGGCCCCAGAGAAGGGCAGCAGAGTGAAAGCCCGCAGCAGGCAGCACGCATCCCCTGCCCTGTGCACATATGTGGACTAGAGTAACCTGCAAAGATTGAATCAATTCAGGCTCGGGCTTTTTGAATGCCTGTCCCTAGCCTGGGTGGAGCAGGAATCAAACAGGGGTGCAAGTGCACCAATGCACCCCGACCTGGGATCTGCCCCGGCTGAAACCATGTGACTGCAGCGCTTGTGGAAGTCTAGCCCTGAATGTTCCATACTAGAGATCACAACCTAGAGCAGGGGTGTTGAAACTTTTTGAATGTGGGGCTGGATCATGAACTTTCTATCACCCAGTGGGCCAGCGAGCCATATTTGTATTTTATCACTCCATGGGCGGTATGTTGGACAAGCCTGAAATAAGGCAAAGCTGGCATAAACTCCCACCTGTGCTCAGGTAGTGACAAACACAGCAAATGAAGTCCTGGACCAGCCATCCCAACAGCTGGGGCCCCACTTCTGCCTACTACGACTACCATTTGAAGGCAGCTCCAGAAGATATTTGACAGCCGTGTTAAAATATGTGACCAAACCGATGTAGCTGATGCTGTTACACAGGCCAAGGGGCTGCCTATGCCACTGCTTCACCGGGCCTTGCCAACACCAGCAACACCACTGCCCAAAGTCTTGACAGTGTTCGGGCAGATGTGGCTGGGGCCCAGCCAACGCATGAGATGGGGGACAGTGGACCTGCGGGAGCAAAGCCGGTTCCCAGCCTGGCAGGGTCTCAGGCTGGTCTGCCCAGGGTGGCTTCTTGTGGGGGAAGGCCTCGGGGGAACACGAGCCGCTCCACTCCTCCACGCTTCCCTGTGGTGAAGTCAAATGGCCCCCGGGAGGGTGCAGGCAGTCGCCACGGCAGGAGAGCAGCACCCGGTCCAGCCGCAGGGAGTGACAATCCCCCGACATGAGCCGGTGCTGCCTGAGGGGGGCCGGAGCGAGGTGGCCGCTGCACTGCAGCCCCTCATTTGCCTGCCCACATGTCCCTGCTCACCATGGTGCCCGGCTTCCCTCGCATGCAGCCCCGGTGGCCTCAGCACTGCGAGTCCAGAGCGCAGGGCCCGGTGGACACTGGCTCCCACCGCCTTGCCCCACAGAGGTTATGCCAGGACCCTGCCTGCTGAGGCCTCCCCGGGGTTGCCCTGCCAACAGCCTGTGCTGGGTGCTGCGCCCCATCCCCGCCAAATGGCCACTGAGCCTGGCGGGTCCTGGGAGGTGGGCGGGACGCCAGGGGCAAGGGGCCGAGCTGGAGATAATTAAAAGCGGGCGCTGTCCTCAGCTCATCCCGTCAGGTGCAGCCAGGGCAGCCCCACACCGTGCAGCCCTCGGGGCAGTGGCGGGACCGGGCTCACATGACATGGGAGCTCACGCGAGCCTGGCCCCGCAGGGGTGAGTAGCTCCCCTCCCCTCCCCTCCTCCACCCACCTGTCCCAAGCAAGGGACCTTGGGCCACAGAAAATGGCTTGGTGTGCCGCATGGCAGCCCACAGGCCATATGTTGGACAAGCATGACCTGGAGCCTATGGAGCCATCTGACCCAAACTGTGGGCATGGGGCTTTAGCAGCAGGCACTTTCCCATTCTGCTGTGGGGAAAAGCAGCAGCAGCAGCAGCTGGGTACTAGTATTCACCCACCCACCCTGCCACCTGCCTCTGACCCAAACTGGGTCATTCTGGCCTATGGCCTTAAAAGGTTGCTGATTGCTGTTCTATAGTAACTGGCTGATTCAACTTGTTCATGGCTCCAAATGCAAGTACAGAAGCTGCACACACCTCCAAGCACTTCCAAGTAAGAATTAGATCTCACTTCTCAGTACCAGGAAGATATCCCATCTCTCAGAAAAAAGCTGTAACAAGGATCTAAATGAATGGTCTGTTGACACATCAGCTGTGCAATTAGCCCCAGAATGTCAGTGTGAAATATTGATTAGTCTGTCCTTAGCTGTCAGGATTCTCATATAAGCAGGCAGTTGATACATTCATATTGTACACTTGTTAGATTTCAAAGAGCCATTGGCACATGACTGATGCTTATTTCTGTTTTTTCTTGCAGGCTTTTACTGATATAAATGTTTATATTTTTGTTAATTTAAAGAATACATACATTTATGCAGTGTATTTAAGTGCTCACACTCTGAAAATAGCTAACAAATAAACTAAATATATTTTTTTCCAGGAACGTGATAAGCTTTTAAGGTACAGGAAACAAAGGAAAAAAATGACAAAAATTCCTAAGGTAAGAGCAAAACGATTTAAAATTCTGATGCACATAACATCTGTTGTGGTGAAGTTAGAGGGAGATAGTGTTCAGTATTATTGAAGGTGAGGATGAAATCCTGGCCCACTGACTTCTGTTGACTTCAGTGGAAACACAATAAGGAACCTAATATTGGGCATATAAAAGCTGACAGCTCATAGATCTCATAGACACCTCATTAGAAGTGACTTTTGAAAAATTGAAACTTAAGTCTGAGTTTACATCAAGCAGTTCAAGAACAATCCTATATAGAGTCTTATGATTATTTAAAAGAATAGTAAGACTTATTTTTAGGTGGAGCACGAAAGAATGCCATAGCACTTCTCCTGTAATATTCATTGGTGATATTTAATCCACATACTTTAGGAGGTAACTGTTTACATCTCATATTATTAATACTTGACTACTTACATTTTAATATGCAAAGCTTAATTACTCCATGTAGTTTGAGTATCCCTCAGGAGTAACAAGATAGTCTGTATAAAGAGTAGGCAGATTTTATGAATAAGAAAAAAATGAATTAACTCATTTCTACAATAGTGTCTAAAACATGTGTAAGTAAATATGTTCCATTGCTAGATTCCATAATTCATTATGGAATCTAGCAATGTGCATAAAATCATTAGTTATAAATAGCAGCAGCATTTAAATTAATGCTCAGTGAGATGGAAGAAGGAAATGTTGCATAGTCTGCACGATGGATAATTAATGGACTTGTGCAATGAGAGGATAAGGTGAAACATCAAGGAGCTGCCCTATGTTTTAAATGATGAAACAGGTCCTTGGTATGGTTACACGTGGTGTAAGTCAGAGCAAACTATAGCCCCTGAGGCTTATGTAAAATCCAGTCCCTTACTACTGTAGCATACTAACCAATTCCCAGATTAATTCTTTGTGTCTATGCATGTTTAAATGGTCTAAATCTATGCTGGAAATGGTTTTAGTATGTGTGAGATATTGAAATAATGTCCAAATGCAAAAGGTACAAATCTAAAAAACTTCAATGAACCACAGATCAATATCATTCTGAAATGCTGATCCTTTTGAAATATTTTTAGTTTTGACTATTTTTAGTTATTTATTTTTTTCACTATAATTAACGTCAATTTTTAAAGGCAAAGTCATTGCAAACTGGAAATCTAGATTTTTTTTCATTTAAAAAATGCTGAAAAGAAACTTTGTTTTTCAAAAATTTTACTTAATATTTTTCTCACAAAGTGTTCAAGTAAAATGTTCTTCAAAATTAACCTTTTCTTAAGAAAAGTTTTGGTTTAATAAGTCAATATTTTGACAGAAATACATCAAATCAGCTTTAATATGAAAACATACAGATGAATAAGGCCACTGGTGATCAGGCTGGGGAAAGTCTTTTAAAGGTAGTTTGCATATTTCTAGGAAATCTGCAATTGCACCTCTGGACTGAAGTGTAGACATAGCCCAAGGTAGCTGATTAAAACAAAGAGGAATGCAACTCTCTGAAAAGTATATCACTGTTTTGGAGAAGTGTGTGAAGTCCAAAATTAATCTTTTGGGGTATAAGCTAATACTGTTTTAAATCTGTTAGAGAAACTATGAGTGCATTTTGCAGACATTTTGAGAGGCCCAACTTTGCTGTGTTGTTATATACATTTGTATATACAAATGTATAAACATTTGTTTAGCTGTACTTACACATTGTCGTTTGGTCAGAAGCCGGTGGTGGAGACATTTTTTGGCTATGATGAAGAAGCTTCCCTTGAGTCTGATGGTTCTTCTATCTCATATCAGACTGACAGAACAGATCAAACTCCTTGCACTCCTGATGATGACTTGGAAGAGGTATTTTTTCCCCATTCATCGTGTAGATGTGTTCAAACTTCAGTTTATGCTGCACTAATTCTGTGCTTTTAATCAGAATTCCTAATCATACTACTAAGCCATTTTACCACTCCTAGTTCATATATCATATGACAGAGACACTGATGTAGCCAAATGATTGTGAGCTTAATCCCACCTTTGGAGGATAATACTTATGGTGGTCTACCACACATGGCAAAGCCAGACACATCTAAATCTTATACCTCAGACCTTGGAATCTGATTATCTTTTAGAGCTAGGAAAGCTGCAAAGGCTATGCATATGTGTATTGTAATTTTAGCTGGGATTTTTCATCTGTGTCTAACAGAAAGAGTCTGTGTTCTCTGAACTGAATTTCCCAATCCTTAGCATTAAGAAGTCAGCCAGGGCAATAGAAAGACTATAAGCACTTTTATTCCTTCTCTGACAGTCAAAAAGCCCAAGGCTGAATCAATTCAATCTTTGCAGGTTAGTTTAAACTGCATAGATTCAACTGAGAGGCAAGTGGACAGACATTACGGAAATGCAGCCACATGCCTGCAGTAGCTCAGGCTAGAAGCTGGGGGCACTAGAACAAGCTTTCCCTTCCCTTTGGCAGTGGCCAGAAGCCTCGAGGGAAGCTGGGAGAGGAGCCTTCCAGGCTTTTTCCACTCTCTGCATGAGCTGTGGGGGTTGGCATGGCCAGGCCCTGGCAGATCCACTGAGCATGATTGGGAAGGGGGGCCCTCCCTGGCCTACAGGGACTCCTCCCTCCCCTCTGCCTCAGAATGCCGGCCTGTGGCTGGTGCCTGGCCATGACCCGTCCCCTCCACTCAAACAGGGGGCAGTGAAAAGCCTAGCAGGGGCTGTTGCACCCCTGGCAGACCCCGGCTGGAGGCTCAGGCAGAGGGAGAAGGCTTAAAGACCCCTCTGCCTCATTTTGTCTGCCCGGCCTCAGGGTTTGGCCACTCCCTTTCTGCCACTCCAATGGTGGGTGGGGGAAAAGCATGGCATGGGTGGCTCCACCCCCAACAGATAGACCCCAGTGCACTCTGGAGCTAGGTTTCCCACCCCCACACCCTTCTCACTGCTCCAGCTGGTGAGCAGAGGAGTGGAGGCCAACCCTACTCTCTGGACCAGACAGCACAGCACAGCCCAGGGCTGCAAAGCATGCTGGGATTTTGGGGGACTGTGAGTTAACTTGAACCTGGAAGGGGTCTGTGATAGAAGTTACATAAACTGGTGTGAATTAAATCAGTTAAGGCTGATGCCACATTCAACCAGGTTTACCTTAAACCAGTTCTGGCCATTTTGAAAGTGGTTATATGCATGGAACTTCTGCTCTGTTACCAGTTTAAACCAGTTTCTGATCACTGAAACTAGTTTATGTGTAACTTCTGTCTCTAGCCCAAGAGGTAATGCAGAAACAGCAGCAGGCTGACACCACTGGTTGAATACCAGCAGTATTGTGAAGTTCATTCCCAGGTAACATTGTCCAAAAAAAGTCAGTGTTTTATTCGGAATCTCATATCAGATCCATCTACAATCACTATTTCTAGGCTCCAGCAAGAACCTTGATAAAAAAGCGTCTCTTCAGTGAACCATGTTTTTAGTAGCATATGATAACTACATTCTGTAAATGATCACGTTGTTGTTGGTAGCAGTGATGATTTAGGAAATGTCTAAGAGGCAAGGATTTTCTATGTTATCATTTACTGGACCAACTGTATAGTTGGGAGAGCTGTTGGAAAAGGTTTTAGGCATCAAGTACCCTTCTACAGATCTCAGGAAGGGCCTGAGGAAGGGCACTTGATGCCCAAAAGATATTACAGAAAATCCTTGCCACTCGTAGAAGATTAACTTATTTACGGGTGAGTGGAAACATTCGCTTTTTTGCCTGCTGAACCAAAATACAAGAAAAAGGGTCAATATGAATCAAGTAAAAATGTTTCTGTTTTTCTCATTGAAATGAAAAAATGAAACATTTCATTTCATTTTGAATTAAATATTTTATTTGACCTAAAACAAAACATTTGTTTTGGCAGCACGTATAAGAAAAGTAACGGAAACGAAAGCGTATATTTAAGCTGACGGTAATACTGGTGCCATTGTCCCTTTTTTATCAAGTAACCTACTGGTTAGAGCATACACACTATGTATGACAGGTTCAACTCCTGTCTCTGCCTTGCAGGGATTTGAAGTTACATCTCCCTCCTCTCAGGAGAGTGCCTGAACACCTGTGCAATAAGATATTCTGGGATGGAGTGGTCTTATTCTCACCTCCTGATACTATTCCACTCTGAAAAAATAATTAAAATTCACCAGAGCAGAGACTGGAATCCAGGAGTCCCTCCCCCCTCCCAGGTCAGTGGCCAAACCACTTGGCTGAAGAGCCATGTTCACTGTTCTTCAGTGGGTATTTACGGTTCCACGCTAAATGGAACAGATACCCTAGAAGGGATTGAAAGTATCCTACCCAAGAATGCACTACAGTCTGGTTGTTACGATGTTCTTTTGAGATGTGGGTGAGATGTGGCATAAAAATCCCTCGGGCAGTTGAGGGACCCAGATCTCGGTTTCTTATGTCTTGGGTGAGTGCTCTAACCATGGAGCTATTGGGTAAAAAGCCATCACCCCCACAACTGTAAATCCAGCACCCAAACTTTTGAGTCAGATGTGCTTAAGGACTACATGAATAGTCCTGAGAGGACTGAAACTGCATTTTCAGGAAATACAGTATTTGCCTGAAAAAAAAATAAATCTCCACACGGTTCTGTTCTTGATATTGATGCACCAATCTAATGTACGGCAGTATGAAAGAAGGATTTTTTAAAAGCAATTAAGTACTGTGACTCCCCACCTCTCCTTGACTTCTGTGGAAGCTATAGGTGTATAGTAGCTCTGAAAATCAGCCACTTATTCACTCCTTTGGTCTTTTTCTCAGGTTGAAAACCTAGTGCTCTGTAAAAAAGATCACATGTTCATTCAAAAATGCTACTGACACAGCCCCAGTGGTGACTGTGTGTAATGCAGTGATTGAGGGATGATTCAGCAGTCAGAGTATTTCATAGATGACATGCTCTGCATTTTTCCAAAAATTCGTGAACTTTTCCTCATAATGGTTTTGATCAGCAGTTCTGTCAAGTAGTGCACACTTGGTAAGGAAAGACTTTTCTCCTGTTTTCACTGAAGTGTTTTTAAGTAATATTTTACTAGGAAAGCAGACTTTTATGACCACAGCTTGCCAACTTGCATTTTAAAAGTGCTGTCTATTACAGGACACCATCTTCCTTTTTCAGAGGAAGCACAGAGATTGCTGTTAGGCTTTCTATACTTTTCATTTTGGAAAAGTCAAATTATAAACCTGTGTGTTATCCTTTCAGGGGATGGCCAAAGAAGAAACAGAACTGAGATTTCGGCAGTTGACAATGGAATATCAAGCTTTGCAACGAGCATATGCTTTGTTGCAAGAACAGGTTGGAGGAACATTGGATGCAGAACGAGAAGTTAAGGTCTAAATGGCTTATATTACATGAAAATAAAGGATTGTAATTGTAATTTTTAAAATTTAAATGCTCTGTTGTTTTCATAACAGGCCAGTGGCTGCTACAAATCAGTGTATCTCCACTGATGCCCTAGAAGATTAAGTCCAGTTTAAGCCAGTAGAAGATCTGGCTGGTATTATTTTGATAGTCCTGTATTTAGAACATACTTTTAGATTTGTAAAGTGCCTTTTACCTGGATAAGTTCTAAAATGCTTTACAGTTTTAATGAAGCAATTCAATTACTTTACCTGTACTTTAGAGTCATGTCACCCATCATTTAAATGCAGCTATCCTTAGGTCAAGACACAGCAATGCTATATAGCAATTTAGGATAAAAGGTAAAGATAATGTTCCAAATACAATCAAAGCTAGAAATCACATTGATAGAATTAAAGACAGTACTGGAATTTGGGCCAGACTGCAGGATAGATTACATATCTAATTGTATGTGAGCAGTAGTTAAAAAAGAGAATGCTTTGCAACATTTTAAAGATTTTTTCCCCTCAGTCCTCCCCCTTTAATCCTTAATTGTACTCATGTATGCAGCTGGAAAAAATTGATAAGCTCCATAGTGGTGTCTCTTTATAATATTGTTGGCTGTGAATTCCTAATGCATCTGCATTGCAATCTTAACTGCTGGGTTGTAATTTATGGTCTCTAAAAGCAGCTGGAATTCCATTCTCTTATATTAAAGTGCTGGATTGCTGAAGAAACCACAGTTATTGAATTTTAATTTTTTTTTTACACTCTGATCAGCTTAAAAGAATGTCAAGTGGAATATTTGATGGAAAATCCTTAAAATTAAGCTTTCTTTCTGTAAAACTTTGTTACGAATAGCCTTAATATGTAATACCCAGAATTTAAATGCCTGAAATTACATGATTTTGCATAATATTTCTGAAAGGCTTATAGTTTGTAAAGAAATGTATTTTCTTAATTGAATTGGAGAATATACTGTTCTGTTGTGCCTGTCTTCCTTGAATATCTCCTTATGAGAACAGTTTCCACTATCAGTTGTATTATATAATGAAACACATGCTTTTTACAATACAAATCTTTTATACATCGTAAAATACTGGGAAAGCAACTTATTTGTACAAAGGACAAAATAATGCATGCTAATGAACTAAAGACTAAATTCTGCCCTAGCATCCACATAATGCAAACCCACTGAAGCTCACTGATGGGGGTACAACTATGCCTAAAATTTAATATTTAAAAGATAAATACATTTCATTTCCATTCAAATAATTTTCATCCCATTTTAGGGGAATTTGGCAATGTGAACAAGAGTTTTGTGAAAGATATAACAAGGTTCATATACATATTCCTTATGGCAGTGGGGAACAGCAGTTACTTGCCAAGTGATAAACAAGCCCTTGAATGAAATTAAAAACAAATGGATTGCTCTAAATTGTCTTCCAACTGAATCAATATTGTCACTTTTCTGATCAGGCCATGTAACTAATCTTTGGGTTTGGTTTTTGTTTCTCCCTTGTAGTGAGAAAGTTAAACCAATGATTTAATAACTCCATAGCAGCCTCTACTGATAGATTTCTCTAATGTTCATGGAAATAAAAATTATCCCTTGTTTCCTTGTTAATTACACTTAGAGATTGACATCATCAGACTCTGTTTGAACACTGGACCAGTTCTAGGAATAACCGTGTAAGATTTGCCCGCTATCCACTTTGACATGGTAGAAGTTATGGATGTTAAGAAAATGGTGATGAAACAAGAAATACCACCATCCAAAACCACAATGAGGAAATAACTCATTGTTACTCAAATAAAGAAATAACATTCATGGGTAGTGCAAACAAATAAGATAATTTGGACTGAAAACAACATGATATTATGACAAACTGTCTCTGCAAGTGAGTGGAGAAACCTTTCTAACAGTGGAATTGGGGAAAACAAAATGTGTGAAGTAGTTTATGCTCCTTCCTGCTGTTGCTGCTTTCGACACCACACTCAAAGGTCAATCATAGTCCCTTAGAATGACCTACTGTTTCAAAAAACAGCTTAATAAAACTCGGACTAAATGAGAACTCTTTTTACAAAAGTGCTCTTAATGGGAATTATGTTAAAAACAGAAAATATCTTACCAGCAAAGCCACTTCCAGTCAAGCAGTAAAGTTTCAGTTTGTCCTTGGGCAGTTTTGCTTTGGCTTTGAGAGGAAGTAGGCAGGACACATGGGGAAAAATTCCTTCTAGAGTTCTACCCTGAGCAAACTAGTTACTATTTTAAAATATAACTGAAATTACTTTTAAACTGCTACTTATTCTGTTCAGGACTCCCTGTTTCTCTTGAGAAATGTGATGGCATCACTAACACATTTGAATTTGTGGCTTTCTTTCTAACTGTGTATTGTGGCATCAGTTGAACAGGAAATATTGAACCCTAAACTCCCAGACCTTGGCATTAAAGCCAGAAGATGTGGCACTCTCCAACTAGCATCCATTAGCCTTTACACTGGAAAACTACATGTAGTGAGATGAAAAAAGGGCAAATGGCTCCAAAATTAGGCCACAACTGTAGAAGCTGTTTTTGAAATGTTGTGTCATCATGCATATTGGACTCTCTTAAAGCAATTTGATACAAGTGCATCCCTCAGCCTAATGATATTTATTTCATCCCATTTTTTCTGGGGAGGCGACTTTCCACATTCCTCCATTCGTTTTTTCCCCCAAACATTCTGTCTTGATAAAAGTAGGTAAGGGCACAATTCTCTGATCTCTGAGCAAGGAATGTATCAAATAGTCACATGCATGAAGCAGCTAATTTTTTGCCAAGTGACTAATTAACTGGATGACGTTCTTTCCAATCTTAGTTAAATCTTAAAATTATTCCATCCTCTAATTTTACCTTTTAAAATTACTGAGTAATCCTAAATGTTTAGCTACAAATTAATTCCCTCAAAGTTCATAATATTCATTTAACTATGTGATGTTTCAATATTTGCTGTATCTCCATTAGTATTTTGACTTTTAGAGAAAGTTTGATATATCTTTTCTCACATTCTACAGACGCGTGAGCAGCTCCAAGCAGAAATACACAGATCCCAGGCTCAAATAGAAGACCTAGAGAAGGCACTTGCTGAGCAGGGACAGGTAATGTATTGTGAGAACTAGCTGTGCTACAAATTTTCAGCCAAAGAAAAATACAGCAGTGGGATTTGTTAGACCCCAACTCCATGCAGCGCCCAACAACTAGGGACACAATGATCCAATCGCTCATAGATCCTGCTACTCATTAGCCAGAGCAAGCAGGGAGCAAACACCAGCCCACATTGCTCGCAACAGCTTCATTCAGAATGGAGACAGCTTGTGGCAAGCTCCCTCACTGACACACAGCCTGTGAAACCAGGGGAGCAGCCATGACTATTAGTTCTTTTCACATTTTATACACCTTGGTTCATACTCATTAACATTCACTCCACCTTCATCCCTCCTTTTGTTCCACCAATATCTCCTCCTATCTCAAGATCTGCCTCTGTTTAGTGTTTACTTCATTAGCGTGGGATTGCCTATGCATTTCACTCATTTACATACCTCTCTGATAAGAGCTCATGCTCAAGACTTTGACCCCAGCTTTCTCCGGTCACTTGCTGGTTCTTTCTGGTTTCTTGCTTACTTCTTCTTCATCTCCAAGGTCTTGCTTCTGCTTTATCTCCTGATGATAGCTGGTGGGCTTCATCTTGTTCTTCTTACACCATATATTCTATACACTATCCCATTGTAAGGAAATGGCTTGCCTAAGCATTTACAATGTTACTTTTAATATAACATCCTGCCTTGTGACCAGCAGCTTTTGCTGAGACACAGATAAAAGTGTTTATTCAGCTGCAAATCCAGTGCTCCCCAAGATCCAAATACAGTCACCCTAACAGGTTTAATAATTTTTTCTATAAAAACATTGGAATTCAGTATCATAAAAATCTATATGGACTTTACATATAAAAATCACTTTAATAATACTTCTTAAATATCTGACTTTTTTGCTAATTGCAAAACAAATCTATTAAAACAGCAGTAATACATCCTCATTGCCATATGTCATAAATCACGTAACTGCCCTTACATAATTATGACAATCCCCTTCAAACTATGTACCTCTCTCTGTTTTACGAGAGATTAATATTGTATTATGAGCGTTGGGTTAATACAGGAGTGGAGTAATTCATAACAAAGTAAACAGCAAATATATTCAGTCTAGAGCTGGGAATATTGAAACAAACCCATTTCTGTCATTCACAAAAAGAAAACAGAAAGGGAAATATTTATGCTAAATACTGAATAAGGGTTATGCACATCCAGTCAAAGAACTGTCATGTGAGGGCCAAACCCTCAGCTCTTTTTAATCATTATAGTTCCACCCAAGTTGATGATTTATACTGCCTAGGAATCTGATCCATATGCTCAATCAAACCAAAAAACCTTAAGTTTAAACATTAAATATATATTTAAAAAAGAGAAGTATGTGCACAGGGCAAGAATGATTAACCAACCGTTTTTGGAAGGATTTTAAATATTTTTTTTATTTGAGAATATTACCACCTGCTGCTGGACAGTATATAAACTGAAATACAGGCGAATTTCATTAAAGAAATTATCTATGAATTATTTTTCCAGCTCTACTATTGTCAAATCACATTTTATAACCATGTAAAACCACTTCTCTGACCTGTATTTTCAAAACATTTTAGCATAATATGTTGGACATATTTGCTGTGTCAAAATAGATATCTGCATAGAGTTATAAAGAAAAAATATACTCCAGTGGTTTGAATGAACCATAAACCTCAAAAACGTCTGTCTTCAAATCAATAAAATACGTCCTTGTCTCCAAGATCTTTTTTATAGTTGCAGTGATTGCTGTTTTGTTAAGTGAAGAGATAAAGCAGATGTTAGATTGTAGAAGTAGTTGTTAGACATTTTAATATGAGAAGTGCTCTCATGGTACAGGCTGTATATATTAGCTGGGAAAGAGATGGCAATCAGTGTGTGAAAACCTTTTCTCAGCTTCCTGCCTCCCCCAATCTGATATGCATTTGTCTATGTAATGGAGCTGGTTTCTGAAGGTCTTTTGTGGAACTGTTTGCATAGTTTGCAGTACAAAATATCTGTTAAAATACTATTGTATTTTATCTGCCCAAAGAGCCCTCTTGAAAGCTTAGTTCAAATGATTTATAAGAACCTTGAAGGGTTCAATCAAGCTCCTGTTAAAATTAAACCTAGTCTTGCCTTTTATTATAATAGAACTTTAATATGCAGTCAAAACATTTTTTTAAAGAAATGCTTTATTTCTCTCTGTTTGCTAAAGGTTTCACTTGAATAATGTTCAGGTTTTGATTCACTGGTGAATATCTATCCTGGCAGGATTACCATGCTACATCTAATAATTACTACAGCAGCAAAGAAGCAGAGTTTACAGAACGGGCTGTATTCAGTGCCTTGAAAAGCAAGTGAATTCCCCCTTGCAATATATTGGAAGAGGTGAAACATATTGGTCCTTCTGCCCTTACTGGACTTCTTCAACAGAATGTAACATTATGAAAATTTTATAGGAAAAAAGAATTGTGTTTCTTTTTAACAGACTGAAAATCTATTGTCCAAAACATGGACAATGAATAGAGCTTTGAAACAAGGATGATGATGATATTATTTATTATTAGCCACTTACACAGACAGCATTTTTAAAGTGCTTTACAAACTTTAATTAAATGAGCACTTGATCACTGACTTTCCAACTCAGGCACAAACATCATTAATCTCAGCAAACAAATAATCTCAGATTGCTTTTCTTTTCGTCTCACTTCATATTTACCAAAATAATTCATTAATCTAAAAAAAATTTATCTTTTAGAATCTTGCACAACATGGAAATCAAAGTACTGTTAATTGCTCCTTTCAATTCATTAATAATAGAGATTAGTGGAGATGCCTCACTTCACACTTTTATAGCAGTCATTGTTCATTTTATTGGTCTTGATGGCTTTTAATGTCAAGTTCTTGAGAAATTGGAGTGGTTCTATTCTAAGTATGTATACCAAACTGCATTAAAAATATTAAGTTTTCAAAGTCAAACGTTCAAAAAGTTAGGGAAAAACAGAACCAAGGTTGCCTATACAACTTAGTATACTTTCGGCAGGTGAATGATGATACATTTTTATTACATAATTACGTTCTATGGAAGCACTGTCATCTTTTCCTATAACATCAGCCTTCTTTGTTTTGTTTTAAGGACATGAAGTGGATTGAAGAAAAACAAGCATTATACAGAAGAAATCAAGAACTTGTAGACAAGGTATTTTATGCTTAACATTTCCATTCATTTTCAAACCATTAGAAACCTAAGGAATATATGTGATTCACTCGTACTATTCACTCTCATGCTGTCCAGTGACAGTGATTTTTCTGGAGGGTCTGGAACTCTCTCAGAATAGCCCCTGAGTTTTCCACACAAGTTCTTTCTCTGCCTTGGCTATATTTGGCAGCATAGAGTCTATGATTTGCAATAATGATAAATGCAAGCACTATTTGCTGACTTTAAGTAGTACATTTTTAGTTCAGGAAGTCATCTAGCTTCAAACGAAGTATGGGGATAGAATCAATTCTTCTGACACCTGCTCCACGGTGCCTGAGCTCTAAGCAGAATGCTACTGGAGCTGTGGAATCCAGAACCACTATTTGGTACTGAAGGCTGAATCCTAATTTTTGACTAAATCCAAGCCTTCTATTTCAAGCCACATGCCTTTTCCATCAAACTGCATTCACAGCAGATCTAACATTCATACAAAACTAAAATTAACAATATATTTGTGTGTGTGTGTGTGTGTGTGTGTGTGTGTGTGTACACACATAAGCATATATGTACTTGTGTGTATATAATGTTTTATTTTACAGATAAAACAAATGGAAACAGAAGAAGCGCGACTAAAACATGATGTCCAGGATGTTAAAGATCAAAATGAACTCCTGGAATTCAGAATACTAGAGCTTGAAGTAAGCCACCATAAACTATGCAGTCCTTTTCACACTTATTGTAGTGTATTAAGCTGGAACACAGTCAGAATTATAGAGTTCTTCTGGAGGGTTTTTTTGTCTTCATTTTATCTGCTTATAGTGCTGAAAGCCAGTTTCTTATAGCTATTTTAATGGAGTACCCTATGCTACCCTAGTTGTCTTACTGTATCACTTTTTAAAGCTCCAAACTTTTATACTCTAGTTAAAGTCCAGTTTAAAAATCTTTTTTACTCTTATCACATCTGCGTAAAAAACCAAACAAGACAAAATGAAAGTTTCACGTAACAGGAAAGTTTTTATTGTCATTGCTAAAAATAATACATTTTATAATAACCCAGGTTAAGGGCACTGTATGGAGTATACCATGTTTCTTTTATGATTGCATTTGTCTCGGTGAATCTTTTTGTTAAGCTGTTAACAACATTTAAAAAGAACGTACATCTTCAACCCTTGACCAACATTACAATTTTTTCTGCACAACTCCAAAGGAAAAGTAACAGCACAGACAGTCATATCAAAAACTGATTTGTTTCAGTAATCCCTTTGGTTATCAACACGTCCAGGCTTCTTAACAAACATAGTTCCTTACATGACCAAAATAATGGTTGGATAACCATGGTTGTGCACACTGATGAAGCAGGGAGGCAGAAGCTTGTACTGCTACTGCGTAGGCTTACTTTACGCTGCGGGTGAACCGAGGCCTTCGCTGCGTCAGTCTGGAATTTTCCACAAGGGTTAAATCTTTCTCAAAGAAATTGTTCCCCCTTCTCTTCCTGTTAAAATATATGGCCAATGAAGGGCTTTCCACTTCTTTGTGTAACAGAAAAAGAAACTTCTGGATAGCATTACTCAGCAATTTTCTTTTAGAATAAATTGCTCACTTTTTCAGACTATGTATTATGGAATGCCTATAATGTATGCTTAATGAGGCTGCATCTTCTAAATAATATAATGCATCATTTAAAACTGTAAATCTCCATAAGTATAATGATTCTGATTTTAGGAGAGAGAAAGAAGATCGCCTGCTATCAACTTTCATCACATTCCTTTTCCTGAAGGGAAAAGTCCGCTCCAAGTTTACTGTGAGGCAGAAGGTGTAACGGTACGTGATTCTTTTTTCTTATGATAGCTTCCTACAAACACAGTTTTATGCTCCATTCTGATTGACTGTTTTCTGTGCAATTCTCTCTTGTTATTAGGATATTCTAGTAGCAGAGCTGATGAAAAAATTGGATATTTTAGGGGATAACGCCGTAAGTGTATGTTCCTTTAATAAATTGTGCATGTTTCTGTTAATATCTGTCCTCCTCTTAATGTGGCATTATGGCAACCTATAACATATTGTATTGGTTTGTTATTGCATATCTCTTTTGCATTAGGGTTGAGGCACAGGGCTGCAAATTGCATGCTTCTGTCTTCCTATGAACCACATAGGAACCACATTGATCACACATTCCAATGAACCACATTGATAACATGTTCTTCACTTTCTGTTTGCTTTGTATATTTGTTATTTGATTTCACATATTAATCTTTTTCTGCATTTAAACTTGGTAAAGCATCATGAGCCTTAGATACAAGCACTTTTAAACTGCAAAATCAGGAAAGTCAGACATTAATTAGAAATAATTATAATAGAAGGGTCATTATACCTATGGAAACCTCTTCCCATCATATAAAATAGTTTCTGTTTGATTTTTAAACTTTTTTTGTCAAACTCCTTTTTTTGATCATTTCTTTTGGGAATCTCCCACAAGGCCTGAGTTACAGAATTTATATGGCTGCTCAGGAGGAATCCTGGGGAGGTGAAATTCACTCCCTACCCCAAGACCGAGCTTCAGGGCTCTCATACTGTCTCTTACCTCCTTCCTCTAGCTGCTACTTCAAACTGGGCTGAAGTAGAGGCCACAGCCACACCATTCTGGTTGTGCTGGAAACTGAAATCATTGGATCTACGTAACTGGAGGAGTCCCCAACACTGACATTCTACACCAGTGCCCGTGGTGAGATAGGTGTCCATAGCCATCAGGTCTATGGTGACCTAAGGAGTTACAACAGACCAATCTAGTAGCCAGTAATAGTATGGGCAGAAGTAACAACTGAGATGTTTCAAATGCCTTTGAGACATTTCAAAGAGTCAGTTCTACAGATGTACAAGCCCTTTGAAATATTCCAAAAGCAGCTGAAGTTCTCCAAAATAGTACCTTTTGGAATGTGTGCACAGGGACAGGGGACCCATAGGTCCTGCAGAACCCCACAGTGCTCAGCTCTCAACTGTCCCCAACCCTTTCAAGGGGGTTTGGGGAGGGGGAAAGATAGCAGGGTGAACAGACTGTGCATTTGTCAGCTCCCATACACTGGTCTCCATCCCAACCCCCTCTCTATCTCTCTGCAACTCTTCTCACTGGAACAGAGAACTAGAGGGGACTGGGGCTGCCAAGCCTGGCATTGGCTGGCCTCTGAGTGCAGGGGTGTCCAGGACCAGGGACCTGCCAATGCCAGTGTGGCAGGGCACTGTTTGTCCCTGCCACTTTAAGGGCTGGAGCAGGCAGCAGCCAGGTGCTTGAGTACAGTGACCATTTTGAGACCCAGAATACATATAAGGTGAAACAACAGTTTATTGCTGGCAGCTGAGAGAGAGATATCAACTAGCAGAGCTGAGGCTTAGGAACAGCTTGGAGTTTTATGGGCTGGAGCTATGGGGATCGAGGAGGCTTCTGTTCCTGGGCATAACCTAAAACTGCACTATGCCAGGGATGGGTGGTCTGGCTGTGCTCCTGGTGGCCTGGGAGCCCCCAGGAAATATCAGGCTAGTTACCACCCTGGTGAAAGGCAGCTCAGAGCATCTTAATAACCCCAGCTCCCACACCCGGGTGGGTAACCCCCTGGTAGGGCCTGAGAAGGCAGACCCATGTAAGAGTGTGGGCTAGTTGCTCATAAGCCTGACTTGAGGCACCCTTGGCTGGTCAGTGCTGGGGCCAGGACCAGAAGGGTCAAAAGGGCAAGGAGCCCACCACGAGGGACACCCAGAGCTGAGGGCCTGGGGTTCCACCTGGCCTTGGAGGTGAGGCCAAGGCCAGTGTGGCCAAAGGTCCTGGGGTGGGGGGCACACTCAAGAGGGGGAAGAGTGCAGGGAGCTAAGCAGCCCAGAATGAGGGTGGAGTAGGCCACCTGATTAGGTGGATCTAGTTGGGGTCCAGACTAGAGAGTTATGGGGTCCAATGTGGGGCTGGAGACATTAAGAGCTTAGATGTCATCTGCAAGGCATGGGCTCCAGTGTAGGGAAGGTTCAGAGTCACAGATTGCACCCCCTGGCATCGGGGTGCAAAAATGGGCAGCCTACCACCTAATTAACACCATAATTAAGTATCATCAAGGCATGGCAGGAAAGACAGGTGGGCTGTTAGCCCAGAAACAGGTGGGCGGGCCAACATCAGAAAGGCCCCAGGAAGGCCCCCTGTTACAGCCAGGCCCTGCAGCCCTAGTTTCCTGCCTCTCTGTTCCAGTGAGAAGGGTGGCAGAGAGATAGAGACGGGTTTGGGATGTAGAGTTGGAAGGCTGATGGGAGGGAGCCAACCCTCCAGAGACATCCTCCATTCCCTGTAGTGTCTCCTGGGTAGAGAGCCATTGTTGTGAAACATTTCAGTTATGAAATATTTCAGCCACAGGGTACCATAGGGACTATACATATGTCTCCCTGCTGAAACAAGTCCTTTTTAAATGTTTCCAAGCCCATTTCATTTGGAAATGTTTTAAAAAAATTACTTCTGTCTGCACCCTTAAATGGGCAATATCTCTCTCTCTCTCTCTCTCTCTCTCTCTCTCTCTCTCTCTCTGTCTTTTTGCTGAAGTTGAGATCAGTCTGTTAAAACCTTTCGCATTTAGTGGTAGCAGCACAATGTGAAAGCTAGATGTTATAGACCAGCAACAGAGTTGCAGCTAGACGTGTTATGGTGGCAATTTAAAATACCTTCTCTTTCCAAACAAGGCTCTAATTAGGCCACTTAGCTCATCATATCTGTATGGGTTGTCACTCTCAGAGCCCTAGCTTCTGTGTTCCACAGACCTAGGCAGATGAGTAAAAATGGTCATGTGAGGAATTGAGAATATCTTTGCTGTTGTCAATATCAATAATATATCATGCCCCAGAGAACTTTACAGCAGCATTTTAACAGTTCACAATTTAAATTCCTGCCAACATGCACATAAATAGCTTTACTCACATAAGTAGCCCCATATTCTCCAGTTGAATTATTCATTAAAGTTACACAAATGCAAAGTGTTTGGGGGAGAGGGCTCTGAATGGGGCAACACAGAAAACGGAAAGGGATACAAGAAAAAACAGAAAAAACAATATGTTTGAAAAAATATTCCTTCTCCTCCATCCTAGTTTCCTTTTACATTTTAAATCCTATCTTACTAGAAACCTTTACTAGTGTTTCTTAAAATTAATGATCTGTAATCTATTTTTATTTACTTTTAAATTGTTTTTCCTTTCAGTAATTTTAATATTACTATTTCTCTTTTCATGGGCAAAAAGTGACTCCCACTTAAGGAAAGCTTAGCAGGTCCCCAGGACTTGCCCTTTAAAAATCTTGTTAGATTTCTAATATACAAAGATACTAGTCTGAATTTTGCCTGCAGGAACATACATGAGACACAGTGGGTCCACCCATGAGATGCCAACTCTGCTGATGGGTCGTATGCTCTTGTGCCTGTCATCAACTTATTCTTCAGCTTGGCCAATATTCAAGCGTCCAGGGGGAACTGCTCCTTTGTGATTACTTGTGTTTTGCCATATGCATTTCTAAAAGGGCCCTTAGGACTCATAGCCTTTAACTGTTTCCAACTGACTTTTCATACATAAATGTGTTATTTTGGGTAGGCTCCATTTCTTAGGACAGTATAGGATAAAGCAGAGACAGAGGAGAGCATGATTAAAATATATTCTGCTGCAGGCCATGGGTTACTAGACCAAAACATAATCATAAAAGGACTAAAAGCCATAAATGCCCTCTCTTTCCCACACTGTTAGCAGAAATCTGTTCAGGAAATACTCCACACAACAAGAAAGCAACCCCCTCCAATTCCCTGTTAGTAATCTATATGTGAGTGTATTTTTTTAATAATGATTTATTTTCAGACCTTCAGTAAACTCTTAAAATCACTGTATATACACAAGAGACAATTATTTACATTTGAGTTAGGTTTCCTAACAAATTATCTACTTCCTGAGCTCAACTTTCACCAACTTTTCAGCCTTGGGCCCATGAGGAGAAATTGTCACGGTTAAACTATATGTGCTGTTTCCTAAGTGCAGTTTTGTGCTGTAAAATCCATAGTGTGGAAAGGGCTAGAGATGGGCTGATTTAGTCTCTTCTCCTTATCACCTGGGTCTCAGCAGGGTTTGGATTCAATTTCCTGGATTTAAACATATGCATGTCCAAACTGGCCAGGAATGTTCAAATTCAGATTCATCCCAAGGTAGTCACAATTTTATGGAAATAAAGATGAAAAATGATCTCATGAAACTTCAGCCATTTGAAAAGAAAAAAAAAATAGATAACCTGGTCTTACAACTTTTCTTCTCCATGGAGCTGAATACTCATGCAATTTCTTAATCTCTCAAACTGAACACCCTGCCTATCCTAAATGTGCTCTTAATCCAACTATCTATATTTGTTTGTAGTCCCTCTTTGGTCACTGTCTTTCATCCTGAAAGTCCTGATCCTGCAAATACTTATGCATATGAGCAATATTATACATGAAAGCATTTCCTTTAACTCTGTGCTCACGTGCATTTCATTTTTCAGGATTGGGTCCTTTCTACTTTGTTTTCCTCCGGGCATGTTATTTACATTATGATAATGTTTTATATGTCTTAATGAGTCTAATTCCATGATTGGACTCAGGATATCATTAATGTGAAATGCACTGCCTTGTATATGAATATTTCATCAGCAGAGTGAAGACACAGCCTTTGACAGTAGGAGCCCAGTCATTTCCCTAATACAACATGGTTAACAATGGCAATGTCTGTGGTCTCTTAAGGCTCTCATTGGCAATATGTGTGACAGAGGCAATGACATTAATAAAACATGCCAGCTGGATAATATGCAAAATTCCAATCATTTCAAACCTATGAATATTTAATTTTTCATTCACAGTTCTTGAGTATAGTTTTAATAATTTAAAGATTGCCAGCAATAAACACACATGTGTATATTCAGTACAGTCACTTTTGGCCAAAATCTACAATAAAGGAAAGTTTAAAATTAGATTTTCAACAACCACCATTTTTAGATACTTCGCTTTTTCATTGCATCATCAGGGCCATAAATATTAATCTCTTGTATGACAAGCAGGGGCTTTAAGTGGCACCATTTTGTATTATCCTGTGTTGTTTTGTGGAATTGTGTGATTACCCCCAGATGGGAAAAAAAGAAACAATGCCATTTAATAAGAACCAGCTTGTTTTAGACATCCCAATAACTTGTTTGTAAATGTGAAAGGAGAATGAGGTATAATGTTATTAGTTGTAGTGTTATAGTATATGAGGACATCCTGAAAATACAATATTTTACAGTAACAAGTGAACAACAGTTTTAAAATTACATTCAGTAGTATTATATTGAATATTATTTTATTAGATTTACCATTCCAATGGTGTGTGTGTGTGTGTGTGTGTGTATATGTATATGTATATGTATGTATATATATTTAATTCAGTACTACCCCGATAGTGGAATAACAACAAGAGGATTGAATTTATTCTAATTATATTTTGCTTTTGGTGCAGAATCTGACCAATGAAGAGCAAGTAGTTGTCATACAAGCAAGGACAGTTCTCACACTGGCTGAAAAGGTAATAACTATTGCATCATTAATAGATTAAATCATGTTATAAAAATTTTTGCCCCTCAGAATAGTTTGAATTAACATATTGATAATGTAAATAATTGTTTCTTCACAACGTGATAAAAGTTCTTTAAGTGTAGTTATGCAATATTTTTTCAAGATATTTAAAGATAACAGACAGTACCATAATTTATTTTAATGTTATTTAAGTAATAATGTTATCTTGGGAGATAAATTGCTGGTGTTTGGAAGACTGTTTCTTCTATTCACCAATTTATAAGTATAATTACTTGATTTTCATTGTTTTGGATTTTAAATGAAATACTTTAATATGGCGTGTTAGAGTTGTAATGGAAGTTGAGTAGTAAACATGCTTTATGGAAGAAGCTATATGCTATTGGTTTTAGGAAACTGATCTATCAATATTTAAGACTTAACTTCTTATTATCTTCTATATGCAGTGGCTACAGCAGATAGAAGTGACAGAATCTGCACTGCAGCAAAAGATGCTAGACCTTGAGAATGAAAAGGTACTAGAGAGGCTTTCAGCTGGTAAAAAAACAACTGCCATTAAAGTTTGTGTTAATAAAAATCAGGGTAACCTAGTCTTCTGTCTGTCCACAGGAGCTGTTTAGTAAGCAAAAAGGTTATTTGGATGATGAACTTGACTATCGGAAACAGTCCTTGGATCAAGCACACAAGGTAAGAGATGTCACTTGTACATCATAGAAACAGCATATAGCATACATCATAAAACAGATGTATGCTGTTTTATACAAATTACGTTGTGTAATTTTGCAGTTCTTCTGAGTAAAGAACTCCCTTTGGATATTCTGGGAATTCCATAGAATGGTTGGAGAATTATAAGCCAATCATTTAGACTTTTATAAAGCAATGAGTTCCAGATGGGCAGATTCCTGTGTTTGCAAGGAACTCATGGCAAAACCAGGGACTTAAGTATTGACTTTTGACACATACATTCTAACATGACAGTGTGCATCTGGAAGGAAAACAATAAATTGTAAGTAAATATAAAATTTCTATTTACCCTAAAAAATATATCTTATCTTAGGGTTTTCCCCAGAAGAGTGTGATCCAACTCATCTAGCTAAAATCAAGCTAAACATGTTATCCTGCATAAGGGGGAAAAAAGTTTAGATCACATTGGCCTAAAATCTATTAGCTAACCCTGATCTAAATTTGATCACCATTTCTAGCCATTAGTCTTTTTCTACAATTAATATCATAATTATATTCCCACCAGAAAAAAGTAAAAGGAAATATTAATTCCAGTTTTTGGACAGTTTTTCCCCTGTGCTGTCCCATGGCTGAAGAAGATATTTAGTCTTCCTTTTGGATATTTTATATATCCTATGCTGCAAAACCATTTGGGAAAGAAATCTGTCAATACTGTTAGTAGTCCTACATTTCTTCTAAGAGTTTGATGTTGTGAAGTGCGCAGCTTCTTCTGAAACTAAAATCTCTTTAGAGCAGAATCCATAGAAAAGAAATAAGCCCCAAGTTAACTCTGTGTTCCATACTAATATGACAGCATGCATTGCATAGATACCAAATACATAGCAGCTAAACTGATACAAATACAACACACAGAGTGCATCTATACATGCACTTTACTGCGGAGTAGACTAATTAGCTCCACCATAAAGCATCACTGCCTACACATGCCTACATACACTGTCTACACCCACATTAGGGTACAGGAAATTAACTCTGCTGTAGGATAGTACTATCTAGGACAAGTATTATCCTACAGCAGAGTAATTTATGCTGTTATCCTCACACTATAGCACCCTTGTGCCCCAGCCAGCCCCTCCACTGCCCACTGCAACCACCTGTGCTGCCACCTGGATCCTGGGGCTGAGCCCTCCAAGGCCCCTGCCAGCCCTGGGCTGCTCTGCCCTGGCTAGAATTGCTGTGATCCCAGGCACACATATACATTTTGCACCTGGGAGCAGCTGACTCCAGTGCAAACTGAGATGGAGCTTATTGTGTTAGGGTAATTGCACGTGTAGATGCACCCGGTAGATGCACCCATAGGGTGTGTCCAGATGAGTGAGCACGTGCCTCTTGCCCCATCTCAAACCCCTTTGAGGTGGGGCAAGAGGCACATGCAGGAATGAAAAAATGTTCCCCGCACTGCAAACTTGCAGTGCAGAGAGAAAATTAGACCCCTGGATGTCCAGGGGTTAAACAAAAACCTGGGGGAAAAAACTGGGTCAGGTCACAGTCCCAGACAGTGCCCTAAAGCAACCGGAGTCTCAGTCCTCCAGAGATGCTCTGGCAGAGTGCCAGAGTGTCTCTATGATTGGCCCTTTCCCTGCTCCTGAAGCATGCTGCCTGCCCGTGCTGGGCAGGCAGTGGTGCAAGCTGCAGCGACCCAGACCCAGCTTTTGCCAAGTAAGCAGGGGGTTGGGGAGCTGGAGGAGGGGGGAGGGGACCTCAGGAGACTGGAGACAGCAGGGGAATGAGCAGGGGGCCAGAGACAGCCCCGGAAGCATTCCCCTGCTGTCCCCTGCTCTCCTGAGGCTGGAGGCAGCAGGAAATGTCTCTGTGGCTGTCTCCAGCCCCTTGCTCCTTCCTCTGCTTGTCTCTAGCCTCAGGGGAGCAAGGGAAGGAGCAGGAGGATGGAGACAACAGAAGAATGTCTCTGAGGCTGTGTCCAGCCCCCTGCTTCTTCCCCTGCTTGTCTCCAGCCTCAGGGGAGCAGGGAACAGTAGGGGAATGCCTCTTGGGCTGTCTCCAGCCCCCAGCTCGTTCCCCTGCTCTCTCCAGCCTCCCAAGGCTGAAGACAGGCAGGGGAAGGAGCCGGGGGCTAGAGACAAGCAGGGGGCTGGAGACGAGCAGGAGGCTGGAGACAAGCCCCTGGAGATAAGCTGGAGACTTCCCCTTCTCTCTCCAGCCTCCTGCTCATTCTCTGATACTGCTGGTGAATGTGGGGGGAGGGGGCTGGGAGAGCAAGTGGGGAGCTGAGAGAATGAACAGAGGGTAGGGGGAATGAACAGGAGGGGGAGAATAAACAGGGGGCAGGGGGAATGAATGGGGAGCAGGGGAATAAATGGGCAGTAGAGGAATAAATGGGGAGCAAAGAGAACAAACGGGGCAGGGGGAACAAACAGGGGGTAGCGGGAATGAACGGGGCAGCGGGAATGAATGGTGGATGGGGGGAATGAATGGGGAGCAGGGGAACAAATGGGGAGCTGGGGGAACCAATGGGGGTGGGGGGAATGAGCCTCCTGTTCATTCTCCTATTCTCTCCAGCCTCCTGCTTGTTTTTCTGCTCATCTTCAGCCTCCAGAGAAGAGCAGGGGAATGAGCATGGGGCTGCAGACGAGCAGGGGTGGGGCAGGGAGCTGTCGCCCCTAGGGCCCTGGGACCCTGCAGGCAGGGTAGTCCATGTGCTATGGGGCGGGGCTGTGCCCTGTGGAGGGCAGGGGACCATTGGCAATGTGTAGGGGGTGCACGTGCACTCCCTGAGCATGGCAGTGCCCCCCCTAAAAAGGTGCTGCCAACACTGTTGGTGGTGTCTGTAGGCGGGTGCCACCCCCCACCACCAGTAGTGTCTGCAGGCAGTCAGCGATCGCTGCTGGCCACCACCGTCACTGCTGGTGGTGTCTGTGGTTGCTTGCCACTCACCACCCCTGCCCCACTGCCAACAGTGCCGGCAGCAACTGCGGGAGCTCCCTGCTTACCTTTGCCACCATGCTCCCAGTGGGGCCATGCCCCACCAGCCTCCTGGGGCATGCGGTGTTTATGCAGGGGACCCACCTCTCCTAAGCAGCCCCCACACCCACAGTCCCCCCACACCTACCCACACAGTGACTCACATTCCCCCACATCCCTCCACATCCACCCACATCCCCCCACCACCCTTCCTACCTCCTCCTACAAACCCCACATCCCCCATCACACACTCACCATGTGATAAGGAAACCCAAAGCAAACATTAAAACACATAGATATTTAGGATTTATTTTATTATGATACTAGAGACACTGATAGGCTTCCAAATTTCTTTAACATTGTAAGTATAACAATAAAACATTGCCCATCTGGTCAGTCCCTCTTTCTCTCTTTTGTTCTAATTGTGGAAGAATGTAGACTTTGGGGTATTTTAAAAAGTGAATATGGGATACTGCCTCAGCAGTCTAGCTGACACAAGGGGCTAGTGTCCCCAGATACCAATTGCCTGGGCCCCAGAAGCTCCTACGGTCAAGTAACCCTGAGCTGCTGGCCAGGGTAGGTTTTTGTATTGCTGGGGCCAGGACAGGGCAGCTTTTTATACTGCTGGGAACAGCACAGGTGCTTGCCTCAGGTTCTAGCTTCCCCTAGATGCAGATCTGGGAGGAGCCAGGCAGGGTTATTTTGCCCCAAGTGGCACAATTTGCTTCACAACAAAGTGCATGTCCAAGCACGTGCACTGAGGCAGAAAGCCCCGGCTCAAATTTGCACCACTTCTATTTGAGCTGCTGCAAGTGCACATGCTTGCATGTGTGGACACGCCCATAGGGTTTACTTTGTGGACCCTAATCCAGCTGCTTTGCACTGCTTAGGCAACCCAGAGCACTCCCTAGAGGGCAACTGGATTCTTATGGGGGGCACTGGGAAGAAGGATGGATGCTGGAGGATGAATGCACAAGATCTTCAACTGGTGCAACAGCTCATTTCAGGCAATATACCTTAGATTGACCCTGAGGGTGCATCAGCCTCTAGCTATTCTCCTGCTCATGGAGGTGGTGGTTGTAGAGACACTCTTCCTACCTCTCCTCTTGAATTGTGCCAACTGTCAGTTTGGTGGAGTTGAAGTCTGAGACACAGAATTCATATTTAAAAATAGACCTTGAGACAGCGATAATCCCTCTATGAAGCACCTGTACTTAGCCAGCAGTTCTGAAATTTCTTTCTGCTTCTGAAGTACTCTGAAAGTTGATATAGTGCAGCTGGAAAGATTGATTGACATTGTCCAAAACTCCTTTATATGTAATGGAATCAGCAGCAAAGTCAATCAATACCAAGCAGTAGATATTGATTTGCATTAAATGGAATTCCATTACATCAGTGTGGCTTAAGGGCAATCACTCTTTCATGTTGCATTCCATGTACTATCAGTTCCAGGATGTTATACTTACTGAGTAATCCCAAACCAAATGCATTTTCTGTACTTCTGCCCATAGAAAATGAATGAGTATGTGATGGTAGGTATAGAATTGCCTGAAGATTACCTGCGTTTCCTATTTCTTGACTGCTTACAAGTGTCATCAAGCAAAGCAATGGGCTTCACCAGTATATCCTAAGTGTGTGTAAAAAGAAATAAAAGAACAATTTCAGTGGCAAAAGAGCTTGTTTCCTGGGATTGTAATTTTCACTTGCACCATTACCCTGTCTGCACTGCAAGATAAAAGAATCCCAACCCTTCAAGTGACCAACTATAGCTTGCAAAATTGCCAGTGACAGATGGTAAGATTCTTTTGTTTAGTTTTTCATCATCTTTATTTGATTTTTCTTTTTGGCTATTTACTGTTAGAAGCTATTTACATTTATGATAAACATCTTCTGTAAGCACTATTCCTTCCACTTCTTCACTCTTTCACGTGGTTATTATCAGTATATACATTTTAGTAACATGTAGAAGTTCAAGCCCTAGACAGTTAGTTAAGCCAAAAATTCATCTTTCATTTAGTTGCAGTTTGTAACATTCATTTCCTGTGTACTTGTATGAATATTGGATGAAAATCAGAGTGAGGACAGAATTGAATGATATTTTAAATTATATTATTTATTATCAATTACTAATTCCATTCATACTCAAAGTTATTTTAAATGTATAGGTGAATGTGTTAGCTAAACTAGTATAGTTATTCCATAATCAGGAATATAGAGACCCAACAATAACTAAAATACAACTAATAATTATTTTTGCTAAAACAATTAATGTGGGTATACTGTCTACTATTTTTAAAAGTGATAGAAGAACACTCATCAGAAAGAGCCACACTTTCAAACATGGGTGACTGGTGCCTCCCGAGTCTGCGGGGGCACCAGATCAGTGTCCGGGGAGGGGCCCCAGCAGCCGATCGCCAAGCCCGGAACAACCAGTGGTGAAAATGGAAGTGCACTTCTGCAGGCACTTCAGGTTTTGCAGCTGGTGCTTCCAGGGGATGCACGGCCAATCTCAAGAGGTGCACGTGCACCCATGTACACCCCCTATGCATCGCCAATGCTTTCAAAACAGTAGAAGTGCTCATTCCTAGTAGAAATGCACAGGTACTGTTCTCCAAGTGTCATTAGATTTAAAGTAATGTTCTGCTGTATCTTTGCTTATTCTTCTTTGAAGCATATTCTCTCAGTCCTGAGTCAACTACAGAGAAAAAGAGAGAGAAAGATCCTCTCCTGGATCATGGCCTCTCCTAAGAAGACTCCCAGTCTTTGTTTTTTGTTTCTGAGACTGTTACATTGTTTGGCTACCAGGAACTAAATACCAGAACCACATCATTTTGATTGATCATTGATCTTTGTGTATACCAAGAGTCTATACTGTTACTTCTCATGTTATGTGCCCTTGAAAATCATCTCTCATCTCATCTGCTTTTCATTCAACAAAAACACATACATTCTAAGGAATGCTACACTAAGGATATTGTGAAAGGCTACTTTTACTACATTTATTTTTTGCATGTGCTTCATACTGTTTAAAATAGCACTTTTTCAAATGCTGCCAGTAATACCTTTTTTTTTTGTATTTTAGAGGAGCACCAACCAGACTGAAGGAACATTCTGAAAAGAGACTAACTGCAGGAATATGAAGTGGCAAAGCGGTATTCACACTATTTTCAAACTTCAAACCAAGTCTCTCTGCCTTGTCCTCCTATCTTTTTATATACAATTTAAGTAAAATATGTAATAGCTTTTTTAAAGCAAAATTAAATGGAAGGCAAGTAAAATATATTTTACAATTCACTGACTGTTATAAAACATGAAACTAAAAAATAAAGGTCATTTTGGTATGCTGAACATTACTGTTCCTGCTTTTTTAAGAACTTCTTGTACTCCTGAGTGCATTCATCTCTGACTACCCAGACGTGTTTTCACCCATACATGCATGCATAGATATCTCTGTATGACTGTATGTTTACATGAAAGTAAGGTTATGAGTAGAACCAAGGAAAAAGATGAATCCCTGGCAAATGGAGTAGAAAAATCACATTATCTAAAATTTTATGCAAAGCTTAGACAGTTTGCTTATGCCTTTTTAAAAAACAAAAATAAGATAATTTTCACAGGTGCCAACTATTTTCAGTGAGAAAAAATATCTTCGTAAGTGATAGTTCAGATTCACAAAGTGAGTGATTTTTTTTTAATTTTTTTTTTTTTTTTTGCCAAATTGATGGGCCTTAAGCAGTTCAGGCATTGAGAACTGAGTACTCTGGATGAAATGGCAACATTTCATTCTAGACAAATCTATGAATAATCAAAAATATCCCTGAGTTCTGATTCCATATCCCCTATCCTATGACATCTACATACTATTCTCTTAGATACATTGCAGGTATAAACAGAAACGTGAACTGGTGGATAGCTATTCTAATATAATAAAAATCTTAGTGTGTCTGTCTGTCTGTCCATAACACTTTATTCACACTCTGATTGGCTGACGAGACAACCAATAACAATGTTGATTGAAGTAACCAATCAGAGTGCTCTGCACATACAGACACACACAGTGGAGTGCTGCCATGATGGTGAGGACTGAGGGGCCAGAGCAGGAGGTGAGGCCAGTGCTGGCCTTGCCCCCACCCCTCACTTCTTGGAGGCAGACAGTGGGGATGGAGTGGGGGTGGAGGCGAGGCCAGCACTGCTGGCCTCACCCCCACAGCCTTGCTCCTTGGAGGTGGCAGCAGCGCAGGGTGCTGGTGGCACAGCACTAGCCTTGCCTCCTGCTGCTCCAGCCTCACCAGCACATCCAATGGGTGACCATGCCTCTCCCCCCATGGCAGACAGACAAGAGCAAGAGATGGGGGGACACGGGGAGTGGAGGTGCCCACATGGCCAGAGGTGGAGCGGTGACACCGCAGGGCTCTGGGTGGCAGTGTCTCCTCCCACCCCCAATTTGCTAATTTTCTTTCATAATGTCAGAGATAAATTGTGGGAATTTCCAAGAGAAATTTAAAGGATAGGTCACAATAAGCCAGTTAATATTGCAAACCTGAAAATTTGCTGTAGCCATCTCTGAACAGGTCATCTATACACATGCTCCAGAGTGTGGGAGGATGTTTTAATTAGAGCGGGTCTAAGTAAAGTTCCCAGAATATCTCATGTATCAGTGTCCCTGTGCTTCAGAATGGTGGCAAGAGTGCTTTATCTAAAGTTTGTTTGACAAGCTTTAGGTAAAATGCCCCCACTGGCATTTTGAAGCATGGGGATGCTGATCCACAAGATGCAGAGGCTGGCTGGAGTTTGGTAGTTACCAGGCTCCAGTAGAATCAATTGAGTTTGCTCCAATGCACTGTAGTTACAGTGCATCAAGCAGCCTTTGCGCTAATATATAGGCACCCTGTGTGCGGAGGTAGCAGGTGTTTAACAATTGATTTGCTGTGTGTCTCCATATGTCTTGCCAGAGAACAGCAAATAATATTCTTAGCTCACATGAAGAACATTATTTTTCTAAAAAATGAAATTATCTAGTTGGTCTAATAAAAGATATTACCTCTCCAAAAATTCTGATTACTTTTGCCTGAAGACCAACGTGGTTCTGTATCCTTGCCATCTAATCCCTGCCATCCCCCATGTTTCTGGCCAGGTGCCGGGGGATTGGAAACTGGCTAATGTGGTCCCAATTTTCAAGAAAGAGAGGAGGGAGGACCCAAATAACTATAGGCCTCTAAGCCTCACCTTGGTGCTCGGGAAGATCTTGGAGAGGATCATCAAGAAGCACATCTGTGGGGGGCCAGCAGGGGAGATCATTCTCAGTGGCAATCAGCATGGGTTCATCAAAGGCAGGTCCTGCCTGACCAACCTGATTGCCTTTTATGACCAAGTAACTAAATCCTTGGATGATGGTGTCACCATGGACATAGTCTTTCTAGACTTTAAGAAGGCCTTTGACACTGTCTCGCACCCCATCCTCATTAATAAATTAAGCGACTGTGGCATTGATGCCTGCACAGTTGGATGGGTAAAAAATTGGCTGATGAGGTGCACCCAGAGAGTAGTGGTGGATGGGTTGTACTCAACCTGGCAAGATGTGAGCAGTGGGGTACCCCAGGGCTTGGTCCTCGGGCCCGCACTGTTTAACATCTTCAGCGACTTGGACGAGGGGGTGGAAAGCATGCTGTCCAAGTTTGCTGATGACACTAAGATGTGGGGCAAAAATGGGCACACTTGAAGGGAAAGAGAGACTGCAAATAGATTTAGACAGACTACAAAAGTGGGCAGATGAAAATAGGATGGGGTTCAACATAGACAAATGCAGGGTGCTGCACCTTGAGAGAAGGAATCCACAGCATGTATACAGGCTGGGGAGTTCCCTCCTTGAAAGCACAGAGGCAGAAAGGGATCTTGGAGTCATTATCAACTCCAAGATGAACATGAGCTGCCAATGCCCGATTGCAGCCAGCAAGGCCAGCCATACCTTGTCATGCATCCAAAGGTGCA